TCTCCCCCTCTCCCTTCCTCTCTGAAATCAATAAAATTTATATATTTTTTTTAATTGGGGGACAATTGGTTGCCTCCTACACACGCCTACACCCAAGGTATGTGCCCCTGAGCAGAACTGAACCTGAGACCTTTTAGTCCACAAGCCAACAGTCTAACCACTGAACAACACTGGCTCGGACCTTAAAATATTTTTTATCAGGAACCTTAATCCTTTTCCAAGTATGTAAAGAACCACTTACATTATTCACCCAAATTGAGTAAATGGGTGCTTAAACAGACTTGAAAACTATTTCTAGATTGAATCATCTGTCAACTGCAAGGCTGACAAGGAAAGGTACTGATGTCTGTGTACCTTTTCATTTTAAACAATATTTACACAGTCCCGTGTTTTTCTGAACAAGAAACCTGAGGTAGCCGATACATGAAAACTCCATCACTATGACAACTAGAAATGGCAATTCGTCATGTATCCCAGATAGAAACTGTGCCAGCGACAGACAAAAACTCAGAGCCACGCTTCATTGGGAGAAAAATCCAGTTAAAGAGTATCCTGGGGCTGATGGTTGTTTTTAAGTGTTTATCAAATGGTTACTAGGAAATATATTTTAATATTAACTCCAGTTCAGAGAAGTAATTAATGACTTCTGGAGAAATGTTCATGAAGTCACTCGCTCACTCACTCCAGTCATTACTATTTGCACAAAGCAGATGTCCTCAGGGTAGGTAGGTGTCCTCTGCTGGGCACGCCATTCGGAACAAGATGAGCCTCACTGAGCTTCCGGTATGGCTGATAAGCAAATGGGCAACGAGGAGATGGTCCGATAAGCAGTTTGCTGCCTGACGTACAGAGTGCTCTGGAAATCGCACGTGACTTCCCAGAGGCAGAGATGGCTAAGCTGAGACCTGACGCAGGAGCATGACCTGCCAATCAAAGCAGGGCAGGGAGGTGTGCAGGCCTCAGGGGAGCTCCAGGCAGAGGGAGCAGCAGACGTTAAGGTCTGAAGAGTAGAAAGCAGAGCACTTATGGAACCAGAATAGTTCTGAGTGGCCCTAGCATGGTGGTGGAGAGAAAATGAAAATGGAGAGATGGGGGGAGGGCACGAAATAAGGGTGTTTGTACCTAAAGGCCCAGCAATGACAAAGAATGAACTATTGCTACATGTGCACTGGGGGGTTAATACCATAGACACAGTGTAAATCAAAAGGAGCCACACACAAAAGAGTACACATTGTATGATCCTATTTACATGAAATCCAAAACCAGGCAAAACTAATCAATGACAACAGAGATCCACAAATAGGAGACGGCTGACTTTGAACTGGACATGAAAAGGATACTAGAAATGTCCTACATCTTCATCTGGTTATACATACAAACAAATCTGTCAAGTTTACAATTATGATTTGTACGTGTGGCCTTAAACAAGTTATACCTTAATAAAAAGGGTGGGAATCAAATGAGAAAAAGTAATAGCTAAGTATTTAACAAAATAAATAACTTCCTATATTGGGAAATCATCTGCTTATACAAATCAAAAGGATCAATGATTGCTATAAAAATATAATAAAGAGCTTTAAGATAAAGGATACATATTTTGTACCAGTCTTTATGTATTCACACACTTGATAAAAATATCTGTTAGGCCCTAGCTGGTTTGGCTCAGTGGAAAGAGCATCCCAGGTTTGATTCCAGCCAAGGGCACATGCTCAGGTTGCAGGCTCAGTCCTCAGTTGGGGGCGTGCAGGAGGCAGCCAATCAATGATTCTCTCTCATCATTGATGTTTCAATCTCTCTCTCTCCCTCTCCCTTCCTCTCTGAAATCAATAAAAAATATATATATTTTAAAACATCTCAGTTAAAAGTGAAATCATTATAATGGCAAAAGTAACTATACAACTGATTCCCATAAATTAGAACATGAGCAACACACAGCTCCTTAACACCTGTGCACTCACGCACTCTGCCCACACCCATTGGGCCCAACAATTACAGGTGCAGACAGGACCCCGGGCCTCTTCCCTGGCTTGTCATGTCCTAGGAAAGGAAACTTTTTTAAATATATATTTTTATTTTTTTATTAAATTATTATCTGTGTACATATTTTAACATTGCCCCCCCACTTACATACCCTCCCTCCCCAGAGTTTTGTGTCCATTGGTTGTACTTATATGCATGTATACAAGTCCTTCGGTTGATCTCTTATCTCCCCCAGATCTCCCTACCCTCCCCGCTTTAATTTGACAGTCTGCTTGTTGCTTTACTGTCTTTATATCTGTCTTTTGGTTCATCAATTTAATATAATGTTCTTTAATATCCATAAATGAGTGAGGTCATGTGGTATTTCTCTTTCATTGACTGGCTTATTTCACTCAGCATGATGTTCTCTAATTCTATCCAGGTTGCTACAAATGATGAGAATTTATATATTTTTATTGGTTTCAGAGAGGAGGGAGGAGAGAGAGAGAGAGAGAGAGAGAGAGAGAGAGAGAGAATATCATAGATTGGCTGCCTCCTGCACACCCCCTATTGGGAATCAAGCCCACAACCCGGGCATGTGCCCTTGACCAAAATCGACCCTGGGACCTTTCAGTCCATAGGTTGACACTCTATCCACTGACCCAAACCAGCTAAGGCTAGGAAACATTTTTTAATGAAGAGGAGTTTTGGTTTTATCATTTGTGCAATATAGAGTTACAGGCAGGTCTTAATCATATTTTATAGAAAAACCATACATATACACATACTATATACAGACCTATAGTGTGCACATATGGCAAATATCATCATGAAATTTACAAAAGCATTATCTTCCCTGAGGATAGAATCAGAGATTTCAAGTGTATTGGTGAAGCTTTAAGCTGGGTGGTACAATATGTGAACATTTGTTTTGGTATTCTTTATACATATTAAGTATTTTATTTTCCCCATACTTTAAAAGAAAGACCACTGTCTCCAGGGTGAAGCAATTAAAGGAGACTGTAAGGATCCAGGCATGAAATGATGATGACCTACTCCAGAGGCTGTGAGGACGGAGGGAAGAGGAAAGGGACATGGATGGCAAATCACCAGTATTGACCAGATGTGGAGAGGAAGGAGGCAAGGTTTTTGTTTGACCAACTAAAGGGATGGTGGTTCTATTCAATGAGATGGGGGAACAAAACCAAAATAAAAAAATGAATGAGATTTTAGAGAGGATGAGAGGAAAACGAGTCAGTCCAGTTTTTGACAGGGTGACTTTGAAATGTCTCCAAATAGAGATTTCCAAGCAGCAGTCAAAACTCCAGTCTGAAAATGAGGAATGAGAAGGGAGTTAAGGATAGATTAGGGAATCATCAACAAAGAGCTGGCACTGTTGGCGTACTCAGTTGTTGAATATTGAGCTATGAACCAGGAGTTCATGGTTCAATTCCCGGTCAAGACACATGCCTGAGTTGGGGATTCAATCCTCAGTGGTGGGTGTGCAGCAGGCATACTAGAATATTTTTTTTAAAGAACAAAGAGCTAACCATTGAAGCTATAGACTTAGACAAGACTCCAGAGAGAAAGTGGGGAGTAAGTCCAGAGAGTTTAGGAGAGAACCTGACGGAGTCACAAAGAAGACAGAAATAGCAGCGTAAGAAGTTGGAGAAAAAGTATGAGTGCACATCAGATAGTTAAGAGCAAAGAATGTTTCAAGAAAGAGGACATAGCCGAAACCAGTTTGGCTCAGTGCACAGGTTCGATTCCGGTCAAGGGCACATACCTTGGTTGTGGGCACATCCCCAGTAGAAGGTGTGCAGGAGGCAGCTGATCGATGTTTCTCTCTCACCAATGTTTCTAACTCTCTATCCTTCTCCCTTCCTCTCTGTAAAAAAAATAATAATAAAATTTTTTTAGGAAGGAAGGAAGGAAGGAAGGAAGGAAGGAAGGAAGGAAGGAAGGAAGGAAGGAAGGAAGGAAGGGAGGAAGGAAGAGAGGAAGGAAGAGAGGAAGGAAGAGAGGAAGGAAGAGAGGAAGGGAGGGAGGGACATGATCAACAGTACCAAATCTTAATGTTCAAGGAAAATAAAGACAAAAAAGCAACCATTGGATTTGGCAGCCAAAAAGTCCTTGGTGACTATTACAAAAGCAGTTTCCAAGAATGGTGAGGAGGAAGTCAGACTGGAATAAATAAAAAACTGGGCAGAAAGGAAGTAGAGAAATCAATTGTGAACTTCTTTTTCAAAAAGTTTGGCCCTAGCCGAAATTGGTTTGGCTCAATGGATAGAGCATCAACCTGCGGACTGAAAGGTCCCAGGTTCGATTCTGGTCAAGGGCATGTACCTTGGTTGCGGGCACATCCCCAGTGGGGGTGTGCAAGAGGCAGCTGATAGATGTTTCTCTCTCATCAATGTTTCTAACTCTCTATCCCTCTCTTTTCCTCTCTGTAAAAAATCAATAAAATATATTTTTTTAAAAATAAGTTTGGCTCTAAAGGGAAGGAGAGGAGCAGGAGGCAGATAGGTTAAGGAAGCATTTTAGTTTGTTAGGTTTTTTTTCCAAGTTAAGATATACATAAGCATTTATATCTAAATTTATGATAATGGAATTTAAACTATCATAAGGAGAAAAACTAAAGTATGAATACATTATCATACATATGGACATGTAGCATATATGGACATGTTCAGGTCTCTGAAATGAAGAAAGCCAGCCAAGTTCTCATTAACTCAACCATCTGGTTACAAATGTGCTTACGTCATGTTAACACTCCAATGCTGGAGAAATAAGGCACAAACTGGACACATTTTAAACAATGAAGCAGCACATTATAGCAGAAAGAAAAGTGGATGTCTACCATTAGAGGAAAGACCCCACTCCCTTCCCCCCTCCGACCATCCAATAGTGCAAAAACATGCTTTGGTATTGAACAAAAAAGAATAAGTTTGAGAGTAAGAGAGAAAATAAAATTAAGTTGCAGTGGCTTTTTAGTTCTATTCACTGTTCATTTCCATGAGAAACAGCTATAAAATACCTACCTGCTTTGGAGTTTTCAGGATGCTTGTCAGGATGACATTCCAGGGCTCTGACCTTAAATTCTGCCAGGATTTGTTCCACCTAAAACAAAAGTCAATGTTTAAAATAAAGAGTCCAGATTAAATGCCATGAAGGAAGAACTTGGACATCAGTCCTTCCCAAAACAGCCATGATCAACCCAACTTTTCATTTTGATCTTTCTATTTGTATTTTGACTTTTTTTTTTTAATTTCTATGTTTTCCAAAGAACAGGTAGGATTTTTTTAATATATATTTTATTGATTTTTTACAGAGAGGAAGAGAGAGGGACAGAGAGTTAGAAACATCGATGAGAGAGAAACATCGATCAGCTGCCTCTTGCACACTCCCCACTGGGGATGTGCCCGCAACCAAGGTACATGTCCTTGACCGGAATCGAACCCAGGACCTTTCAGTCCCCAGTCCGACGCTCTATCCACTGAGCCAAACCGGTCTTGGCTGTATTTTGACTTTTTTATTCTAAGAAATAATTTCCTTAATTACACAATTCAGAAAGCATCCAATAATAGCCCCTATTCAAATAGTGGTATGTGATGACAATTTAACTTGTTGATTGCCCAAGACATCTATGAGCTCAATATATTATCAATAAGGTTTATCATAAGACTGTACTAGTATACAAGTCATACATCTGAGTTCTTTAAGATACTTAGCCACCATTCATTATTTAGGGATAACTGTCCAATTTATAAATTATTCATTATAAAGTTTCTTCTTCCTGTCTTTTGGCCCTTTTCAGTTTTATTAAGAATTTCACAATTTTTTTTTTTTAAGTACATAACTCAAACCTGATCATTTTGCTACCAATTAACAGCTTGGTTAGAGATTTTTGACTGGAAAAACGGAAACTTCATCCCCAACTAGAATTATGGTTAAGGGCTATCTATGATTTGATTTAATCCCTGATATCAGAAATAATCAACATTTTGGCTTTATTTAATACTAGAGGCTCAGCACGTGAAATCACAAGGGACCCAGACCCACAAATGCCCGCAGGACCCAGACTCCCTCCCACCATGCCAGGGGGACCCAGACTGACTCTCACTGCACCGCAAGACCCATCAGTGCACCTGGTGATCGTACGTTTGGTCATTGCAGTGTTATGGCCACTGGCCTTTTATAATATAGACTAGTGACCCGGTGTGTGAAATCATGTGGCCCTGCCCACCAAGCACATCCCACCCACCTTGATACCCTAACCTCTCCACCCAGAGCTCAAGCAAGCTTGGCTCCGCCCCCGATCCCTTAGGCCTTCTCTGGCCACTTCAAGCCCTAAGAGTCACCTCAGGCTGGTCTTGCCTCCTCTGGGCACCTCCCCACTTCTGCCCTATCTCCAGCCCATCATGGTGCCAGAGGAGGAGAGCATGGAAGCCTCCTGCGCTGAGCTCCTTCCCCTGGCAGGTGGGTGGCAGGCAGGGCACTCCGAGTGTAAGTGGTGGGTGTCGAAGGACTGGTGAGGGGGGTGACAAAAGACTGGTGAGGGGAATGCTATGGGCTGTCACACCCACCTCCCCGCCATGGGATGGTCCTGTCTCCTCCGGGTGCCTCTCCACTTCCGCCCTGTCTCTGGAGCAATGCGGCAGCTCCATCCCGCTGCATACGCGCAGGCAACCTCCTGCTGATCAGTTGTTGGTATCACGACTATTATCATATTGGCTCTTTATTATGTAGGATAATTGCAATGACGGCAGAAGTAGACAACAGGGGTTATGTGGCTCTGGAATCTGACTGCTTAGTTCTATTTTTTTTTTCACTTAAATGTTTTGTTTTAATAAATAAAGCATCATGGCTTAGATTTTAATTCACATTTATAGGTAAGGAGCATTTCTAAGCCCAAACAGGTAACAGTGAAGCTCCTACTGCTGGAAGGAATGCATGCCCACATGTGCGGTAAGCCTAAAGAGCAGAGACTTACCAGCAGAGCATATACCATACACATAACCTCTAGACTAGGGAAAGACTGACTTCTTAGTTTTAAATCCCAGTTCTGCCCTAAGACTTTAGGCAAGTTATATAATCTCTAAGCGTCTAGGTTTCCTCATCTTTACATTACATGAATAATGTAAGTAGAGCACTTAACACAAAGCCTGGTGATAGTAAGAACTCAATAATAGTAGCTATTATCTTTTTTAATATATTTTATTGATTTTTTACAGAGAGGAAGAGTGAGGGATAGAGAGTTAGAAACATCGATGAGAGAATCATCAATCAGTTGCCTCTTGCACACCCCCTATTGGGGATATGCCCGCAACCAAGGTACATGCCCTTGACCAGAATCGAACCCGGGACTTTTCAGGCCGCAGGCTGAAGCTCTATCCACTGAGCCAAACCGGTTTCGGCAATAGTAGCTATTATTAAATGTCAGTGGTTAAGTAACTTGTCTGAAGTCACTGTTAAGCATTTAGACTTAAAATCCAATCATCTTTCCCCACTGTTTTATAAGGCTGAATTCTTCAGGCTCAGGAACCCATTATTAAGTTCCTATTATTAAATGAATTCCCGAGTAGCTTAGCTCAATATTGTAATAGGATTCATGGGAGGAGAAACATGTTTATCAGCTCCATGTCATTCTTAATCAATCAATCTTCATAAAAAATTATTCATAGATTGTATTAGACATGCATATATATATATATAAAGCCCAGGCTAGTAACTTTCTTCTTTTCCTTGTTAAGCAACTACTGAGAATCTCTTAGAATAACAGGAAGATATAGGCTTCCTATTAAGAACCATAATCAGCCAAAACCGGTTTGGCTCAGTGGATAGAGCATCAGCCTGCAGACTGAAAAGTCCCAAGTTCGATCCCAGTCAAGGGCATGTACCTTGGTTGCAGGCATGTCCCCAGTAGGGGGTGTGCAAGAGGCAGCTGATGGATGATTCTCTCTCATCGATGTTTCTTTCTAACTCTCTATCTCTCTCTCTTCCTCTCTGTAAAAAATCAATAAAATATATATATTTTTTAAAAGGATCATAATTGTTTCCTCTTCCTGGTGCTCCCTTTAACCATCAGTCACCATTACCTACATATATAACAAAGAAAACTGAGAATAACTTGTTTCTCAATTTTAAAATATTAAATATTCTGAAGATCCTAGTAGTAAGCATTTTGTAATTAACAAGTAACTTATGAATACTTATCACTCTTTGAAAAAAAATTCTAGCAATACAGATAAAAATTAAAAGCTCCTTTATCTTCCTTCAAGGCACAGTTTTTACATATATATGCATATATCTTTAGGGGTGGTTAATAAATGGATAAAATCATACCTATCAATGGTAGAAATTTTGGGTTTTATTGTTGTTATTTTATCTCTTTATTCTGATCCCATTAGGAAACATTCTGCTATTAGCCCTTAGAAGCAAATATGTCAAAGTAGTTAATTCTCCATAGTGCTCATGTGTATGATCGTTCCTTCTTTATATATTTCTATATTTTGCCAATTTTAAAAAATTAAGAAAAGTGCATGTATGTCTTTCATTACTTTTCACAGTTTTACTGTTGTACAGTTTATCATAAATCTCTTATGTAAGGCTAGTTCTGGTTAAACCAACTGGTAAAGTGGGCTACTTTGTCTTGGACACATTCTATTAACCTTCTGGCATATCCACCCCATGCACCCAGTGCCAAGTACAACCCGTGAGCAGGTGAGGCCCTCCATGGCAAGGTCCACTGCATCCTGACTTCCTAAGCCAATGTTCAATGGTCTGGAAAACTGCTTATCCTGTGGGCCAGTAAACACACAAAAATATTCAATTTTACTTGTACTCAAATAAAGCAAAACATCCAAGGAATTATGACATCCAGTGAAGGTGCAAGGCACTAAGCATTCTCACGCTCTCTTGGAGCTAACTTCTTGAAAAACAATTGAGATATATATATATATTTTTTTTTCTTACTCTTTGATCCAACAATTCCAATTTAACGAATCTGTCTATGGAGATAATCCAAGGAAGGAAAAGAATTTAGTTATAAAAAGGTTCATGATGCCGAAACCGGTTTGGCTCAGTGGTAGAGCGTCGGTCTGCGGACTGAAAGGTCGCAGGTTCGATTCCAGTCAGGGGCATGTACATTGGTTGCGGGCACATCCTCAGTTGGGGGTGTGCAAGAGGCATCTGGTCGATGTTTCTCTCTCATCGACGTTTCTAGCTCTTTATCTCTCTCCTTTCCTCTCTATAAAAAAAAAAATCAATAAAATATAGGTTCATGCTATACCTTGTAAATAAAAACCTATCTGTCCATAATAAGACATTTGTTCAAGTTCACTGTAATATAGCTACAGGCTGGAATATTTTGCAGTCATTAAAAAATCATCTTATAGTAGAAAACTTTTTTATTTATATAATGCATTTCTATGAGAAAAGGTAAGCTACAAAGCATTTTGTGCAGAATAAATCCATGTTTAACCTCAAAAGGAATGATATATATATGAACACATATATACATATAAAATAATAATTTTATATATATACTAGAGGCCTGGTACACAAAATTTATGCATGGGGGGGGGGGTCCCCTCAGCCCAGCCTGTACCCTCTCCAATATGGGACTCCTCAAGGGATGTCTGACTGCCTATTTAAGCCCAATCCTAATAGGACATCCTTCTCACAATCAAGGACTGCTGGCTCCCAACTGCTCGCCTGAATGCCTTCCTGATTGCCCCTAACCACTTCTGTCTGCCAGCCTGCTCACCCCCTAACCACTCCCCTGATAGCCTGATTGATGCCTAACTGCTCCCCTCCCAGCCTGTTTGCCCCTAACTCTCCTCTCCTACAGGCTTGGTCACCCCCAATTGCTCTCCCTTGGAGGCCTGGATCCCCCCCAACTTCCCTTTCCTAAAGGCCTGGTCGCTCCCAACGTCCCTCCTCTGCTGGCCTGGTCACCCCTAACTGCCCTCCTCTTCAGACCTGGTCCCTCCCAACTCCCTCATCTGCTGGCCATTTTGTGGCAGCCATCTTGTGTCCACAAGGGGGCAGCCATCTTGTGTGTTGGAGTGATGGTCAATTTGCATATTACTCTTTTATTAGATAGGAGATATATATATATATATATATATATATATATATATATATATATACACACACACACTCATGCATTCAGCCAACCAGCCAACCAGCCAACTGGCCAACCAGCTGGTAGCTATGATGTGCACTGACCACCAGGGGGCAGAAGCTCAATGCAAGAGTGGAAACCGCAGGCATGGAAACATGGAACAGACTGAGGAATCTCAGACAGGAAAGGGGCACGGGGGAGGGCAGGAAAAGATTAACCAAAGGTCTTATATGCATACTAGAGGCCTGTGTATGGATTCGTGCACCAGTGGGGTCCCTCGGCCTGGCCTGCAAGGGGTCCTGGATTGCGAGAGGGCACAGGCCAGGCTGAGGGACCCCTCAGTGCACAAGTCCATGCACTAGGCCTATAGTCTATATATATAAAAGCCTAAGCAACTGAACAACCAAATAACTGGTCGACCAGTCGCTATGATGTATACTAACCATCAGGGGGCAGACGCTCAAAGCAGGAGCTGCCCCCTAATGGTCAGTGTGCTCCCACAGGAGAGTGCCACTCAGCTGACCGACCTGTCCAGGTGGCCCGCCAGCCTGACGGCATCTCCTCAGTCCTGCAGGTCCAATTTCTGGAGAGCAAGCCAGGCACTGATGAACCGGCACACCGGCACAATCCCAACAGCGCTGCTGGCCTCCTGGAAGTTGGTCTCAGGCACTGTGGCCACTTCCCCTCCCTGGATGCTCCACAAGGAAGAGACGATATAAAAGTGGCCACCATATGGCTCCTGACAACCGGTGCAAATATCAGCTGGACAGATCCAGATGCCAAGCCTGGCAAGGGCATCCCACCACCTGCTTAGAGGGCCGATCCCATCCCACTCCCCTTGGGATGGGTGCCAGACGCAGGGCCTCTAGTAATAATAATAATAATAATAATAATAGCTAAGACATATTGAGACTTACTGTATGCCAAGCATTGCTTTTAGCACTTTACATATAATGTCTCACTTAATTCCCATAACAACTCCATGGGGTGAGGAATATTATTATTCCCATTTTGAAAGTTAAAAAAACAGACATAGAAAAGTTAAATAATTTTCCCAAGGGCATACAGATAGTAAGTGGCAAGGATTTGAGTTTAGGCAATCTGATTTCAAACATATAAAAAATACACATACAAATATATACACATATATGCATGTACTTATTTATATAATATACTACAGGCCTGGTGCATAAAATTCATACACTCGGGTGGTAGGGAGTGGTCCCTCAGCCTTGCACCCTTTCAGTCTGGAAGCCCTTGGGGAATATCTGACTGATGGCTTAGGCACACTCCTCCTGGGCCTAATCTGGCAATTGGATATCCTTAGCATTGCTGCAGAGGCTGGAGAGATTACCGCCACTGCTGCTATGCTCGCCAGCTGTGAGCCTGGCTTCTGGCTGAGCAGTGCTCCCCTTGTGGAAGCACACTGACCACCAGGGGGCAGACCCTGCATTGAGTGCTCCCTGGTGGTCATACCTGTCATAGTGACTGGTTGTGCTGCTGTTTGGTTGATTTGCATATGAGCCTTTTATTATACAGGACTTGCGGCCTGATGCACAAACTCATGCACAGTTGAGGTCCCTCAGCATGGCCTATGGGGATTGGGCCGAAACCAGCAATCCAATGCCGCCTGCCTGCTGCTCCTGCTCATCCCAGCCCTATGGAAAGAGCGTCGGCCTGTGGACTGAAAGGTCCCAGGTTCAATTCTGGTCAAGGGCATGTACCTTGGTTGTGGGCACATCCCCAGTGGGGGGGGGTGTGCAAGAGGCAGCTGATCGATGATTCTCTCTCATCGATGTTTCTAATTCTATATCCCTCTCTCTTCCACTCTGTAAAAAAATCAGTAAAAATATATTTAAAAATAATAATAATTGCTGAAATCGGTTTTGCTCAATGGATAGAGCGTCGGCCTGCAAACTGAAGAGTCCCAGGTTCGATTCTGGTTAAGGGCATCTATCTTGGTTGTGGGCGCATCCCCAGTGGGGGATGTGCAGAAGGCAGCTGATCAGTGTTTTTCTCTCATCCGTGTTTCTAGTTCTCTATCCTTCTCACTTCCTCTCTGTAAAAAATCAATAAAATATATATTTTTTTAAAAGAATTGTGTGGCCGAAACCGGTTTGGCTCAGTGGTAGAGCGTCGGTCTGCGGACTAAAAGGTCCTGGGTTCGATTCCGGTCAAGGGCATGTACCTTGGTTGCGGGCATGTCCCCGGTGGGGGGGGTGCAAGAGGCAGCTGGTCGATGTTTCTCTCTCATCGACGTTTCTAACTCTCTATCTCTCTCCCTTCCTCTCTGTAAAATATCAATAAAATATTTTAAAAAAAGAAAAAAAGAATTGTGTGTGTCTTAACTCAATTGTTATAAAAATGAAAATATCAAATGGTTTTGAAATTATAACTGCTAAATTGTTTTGGGATATGAACAGTTATGGTCAATTTTTTAGATCATCAAATCAAAAAATATTTGAAGTAAAGGAAATCCATCCAACACAAATCGAGTAAAGAAAATGTCACACTACTAAAAATTGGCATAAAATATTTTTAAATGGAAAGGATACATAAAAAAGCAATTGACAAAATTATGGAAGGTCATTTCATTTTAAACAAATGACTGTTATCTACACATCTGTGCCATTGACAGAGTCAGTAAAACGCATCCAGAAGAAGGAGTATCAATGCTTTTATCCTCCTAACACATACCACAGTATCTGCAGAGAAGTATGACTTTAACTGCTAACTGTGAAATTAAACTGTTACAAGCATTATAAATAAACAACAGACTATTTTTTTAGTCTATTCAAAATTAATCCTCCTCCTTTGTAGACTAAAAAAGACAATAACAGAACTACAGGAGACTGACTAAACAGTCAAAAGATTTATTATGGGGATATAAAATCTCTTTATAACCTAGTATGACAGTATTTTTTAACCCAAGTTGAGAAACTTATCAAGTCTGATTATGCTCCTATGATTTTAAAAAGTTCCTTCAAAAATTATTTGGCAATAGTAGAATCCAAAGTATGGTAATGCACGGTAAAAATGGTAATAAGCTTTCAAACTCGCTATAAGCAAAATCACCACAAAAGCAAACAAGAGTAACATATTATCCTAAAGGAGAAATATGCACCTAAAAGAGTAATATAACCTGTTTAGTGTGCATGTGTGTGTGTGTGTGTGTGTGTGTGTGTGTGTGGAACTACAAGGTACTCAAGGTAAACTCCTCAAAGTGATGATGGTAGAGATTTTAATCCTTTGTGTCCAATATAGCATTCTAGTCTACAAAGTACATTTTATTACTAAACTCCAGCCATATAAAACAAAATTAAATTAAAAATATATTTTGCTTTAAAATATTTTAATAGCTATATTTTAGTAATAAAATAAATTTCAAAATATAGACTTGTAAAATAATATGAATATATGCAATAACATAATTGAAATATATGTCATATTCATCTCAACAATATTTAAAATTTTAAAAACTAGAAATAAAATATGTAACAATAACAGAATATAAATTGTGGTACAATAAAATTATGTGATCATTAAAATATGTATGAAGAATCTTTCATAGTGTGGAGAAATCCTTGTTATAATGTTAGTGGATAAAAAGCAGGAATCAACAAGTATATATAATATCCTCTCAAACATGTCTTCAAAAATACGTATAGGAAAAAGACTGAAGACTAATATGCCAGACATTAACAGTGTTACCATTGGAGATAGAATTGTAAATGAGTTTTCCATAATTTAAAAAACTTTTACAATCTTTATAATTGTCTACAGGAACCTTTAAAACATTATTCTATTATGAATCAAGTGAAAAACTACAGAATTTTCACATGTTTTCTATCAGGAGCCACCCTTTCAAGAAGTAATTTCTCTTACTCAATTTGAACTATTAACATAAAAGGATGCTTCTTGGTTTGCATAATTTAGCTGTTCACATAACAGTACACATTTTAATAAAACACTTTAAATAGCTAATTACTAGAAAACTACATTTCATCTCAATTAAAATTTAAGTTGCCATAATAAAGCTATAGCTTATGTATGCTATGAAACACAGTCAACAGCAACTACAACAAAATTTCAAGTATCTATTTTTCATATATTTGAAATAGCGTCTATGGCAATACACATATTCAATCACAAGTACCCATAAAACTGCAAGAAGACACTATTCAAGTAAAGACCCAATGCACATTTAAATCCTTAACTTTCTCTGAGCCAAAGGTGCTTTAAAACAATACATGATTAGGTTTCTAGGCAATGTGACTAAAATGACAAAGTTAAAATCTTAAATAAAACCTGAAGTACTGTTGTGAAAAAGAACAGCATAATGCACTGTCTTACCGAAGACAGTTCATCACATCCCAGTAAGGTGTAGTAATCTTCAGTATCTTCCAACCTGTAATTCAGTATTGCGTCCATTGAGATCACTGAATCAACTCTTCTTGCCCCCGAAACAAGAGGCACAATGAGCTGCGAATTAACAGGAAAAGCCTTTTAAATCTGATTTACAGCAGCATGTTCCAAACTGCACACACAAGGTTTAAGGCTGGACACAGCCAATACACACACCAGATGTCATCCAAGACCTGTGTAAACTACCTTTCATTGGCTGCTTACAGAAGAAAAAAATAACAGACCGCTACCAAACTGTTGCAGTGCTGCCTGGGACTTGTAGTTTGGGTTTATATAAGTGATGCAGATTCACCACTCTTCTTCTGGATAAACAAGGACTGTCCATTTTTACACACTCCCCAAATGAGCCACCTCTCCACCTCCTATATGTTTTTTTCTTTTACTTCTTTTTAAGTGATAAAAGAAATAATTTAAGCAATATTCTAAACTCTTAGAATTTGTTAGATATGAGTAGTGGGTGGTTTCTTGTGAATTTAGAAAATTTCAAAATTTTTTAAATAGAGTAAAAGAAAATAGACTTGGGAAGCAAATTTTCATTCATTTGATAATTTATTCGTTCAACAAATATAATGTTTATGAAGGACCTATTTTGTGCCCAACATGAACTTAAGAAAGTTATGCTAACTCTGGGTTCTTAGGGAGCTTACATTCTGATGGAAGGAGGCAAACAAATGAAAACACTTAAAATCATAAACTAAAATAGGAAAGTGAGAAAAGTAACTCTGTGATGATAGAGTGGATTTGCTGTCCAGACTCAAGAGTGTGTCTGGTCTGGAGTGGATGCAGGGAGCCTGTGTGCCAGTTCACTGTGGCCCCAGGAATGCAAGTCTGGTTTAGGATTTAGAGAAGGTGAGTGGAGGGTTATACAAAACTGTAACTGCCTTAACCCTTTAAATGCCCCCATAAATATCACCTTGGAAAATATTTTTTTTCACTGAGTGTACCTATATACATCTTTTTTAAAGCTTATTTCTTAAGAGAATTAAGTACTGAGGCACCATTTTCTTTTCTTTTTTCTTTCTTTTTTAAAATATATTTTTATTTTTTTAATATTTTTTATTGATTTTTTTTTACAGAGAGGAAGGGAGAGAGTTAGAAACATCGATGAGAGAGAATCATCGATCAGCTGCCTCTTGCACACCCCCCACTGGGGATGTGCCTGCAACCAAGGTACATGCCCTTGACCGGAATCAAACCTGGGACCCTTCAGTCCACAGACCGACGCTCTATCCACTGAGCCAAACCGGTTAGAGCTGAGGCACCATTTTTACCAATCCTTTGTTATATATCCTCTCTTGCTAAAAGTTCTGTATGTAACTAATTAATTACTTTTCTCATCGTTGATGTTGCTATCTCTCTTTCTCCCGCGCCCTTCCTCTTTGAAAAAAAAGGAAGGAAATTCTGACACATGCTACAACATGGATGAAGTGAAGACATTATGCTAAGTGAAGTAAGTCAGACACAAAAGGACAAATTCTGTATGATTCTACTTATATGAGGTACCTTGAGGAGTCAACTTCATAGAGACAGAAAGAAAAATGGAAATTTCCAGGGACTGTGAGGAAGGGTCAAATGAAGAGTTAGTGTTTAATAGGCACAAAGTTTCAGTTTGGAAAAATTAGAAAAATCCTGAAGATGGATGTTGGTGATGGTTGCATAACAGTATGAATGTACTCAATTCCACCAAACTGTACACTTAAAATAGTTAAAATGGTAAATGCTATATTATATATATTTTACCACAATTAAAAGAAAAGTGATATGAATTCCCTCAAACACTAGACAATACTGATCACAAAAAGGAAGTATCGCTTATTTATTCTCCATCTTGAGAAGAGTCAGGACAATGCTACAATGTTCTTCTGAGAAACAAAAGAAAAAATAGTTGTGAAAAGAATTCTGGTAATCACTCACTCATGTTTTATGAAATGCATCCCGAGGCTTCTTTTCCTCAAACACCATGTTCTCGCTTCTGCAATGGACCATGTAGTCAAACGGCGTAGAAACATATTTAATGCCTGGAAAATGTGCACACTCCATTGTGAGGTGAGAAAAAGTTAGAAAACAGTGTGTACTATGTAAACCTTCAGAGCATTAAGACCTATGCATGTTACTAGGTATCAAATTATATCAAATTCATTTCAATTTTAAAAGTAAAAAATGTAAAATTTAAATTTTAAAAAGTAGGTATGGTATGATTCCAGTATGTATATGTACACTGTATATCTATAATAATAAAAGCATAATATGCTAATTAGACCTGTTGAAGCCGGGGCTTCGAGGGAAGCCCAGGTCTCGGGTGCCTGGTGGTGGCTGAAGGGAAGCCCTGGTCCCGGGTGCCAGAGGGAAGCTGGTGCCAGCTGCTGGAGGAAGGCCTACTCTTGCACGAATTTTGTGCAACAGGCCTCTAGTATATTTATAAAATATGATAAGGTATATACACCAAAATAGATCAGTTGTCCTTAGATAATAGGGTCACAGGTGACTTATATTTTTATTCATTTTAACATACCAGTATACTATTATTTTAATAAGAAAAAGCAAGCAATAAAAAAAAAATTTTAAATTTTTTTTAAAAAAGGAAACAGCCCTGGCTGATGGTCTCAATGGTTAGAGCCTGGAAGGAGCACACAAGGGTCACAGGTTCAATTCCTGGTACCTATTAATCATGTACCTAGTCCTTTCCTATAGGGTTAACCTACTCGGTAAAATGTGGGTATAGCTGCAGAGAGATGTCTGTTCTTGCTGAAACTGTGAAAGTAATTTGGTCTCTTAGTTGCTGCCATTTTGGAGAGCATGGACATGTTAAGAATTTGGTGATCAGCCCAACTGGTGTGGTTCAATGGTTGAGCATCAACCTATGAACCAGGAGGTCTCAGTTCGACTCCCAATAGGGAGTATGTAGGAGGCAGCAAATCAATGATTCTCATCGTTGATGTTTCTCTCTCACCATCTTTCAGAAATAAATAACATATTTAAGAAAATTGGGCCGAGCCCTAACCAGTTTGGCTCAGTGGATAGATTCTGGGTTGGATTCTGGTCAAGGGCATGTACCTTGGTTGCCTGCACATCCCCAGTAGGGGGTGTGCAGGAGGCAGCTGATTGATGTTTCTCATCAATATTTCTGACTCTCTATCCCTCTCCTTTCTTCTCTGTAAAAAACAAACAAATAATAAAATATATTTAAAAAAAAAAAGAAAAGAAAATTGGGCCAAGTACTTTCAGGAAAATTAATGGCCAATAAATATCAATAGTAGTGCAAACTTATTCATAATTATGAAACTGCTAATCAACGGAAGTTCACCTATCAGAGAAGCAAAATTTCTAACGTTTGATATTATCCAATGATAAAGCAGAAATGACAAAGTTAGCACTTTCATACATTTTTGGGTAAGAGTGTAAATTGATACAATTTGGCAATTTGGTGGTGTTTATCAACATGTGTCTCAGTTGCCTGGGCAATTTTGTCTCTCTACAAATGTGCCCTGAGAATTTACACCAAAATATGTTCCAAGGCAAGCACTGAAACATTCTCTGCAACAGGAAAACATTGGAAACAGCCAACATGTCCTCCAATGGGAGAAGAAGAGGGCAGTGCCGAATAAATTACGGTATTTATAGATAAGTACTAACTAACCATTTTATTTTTAAAAAATATATTTTATTGATTTTTTACAGAGAGGAAGGGAGAGAGATAGAGAGCTAGAAACGTCGAAGAGAGAGAAACATTGACCCAGCTGCTTCTTGCACACCCCCCTACCGGGGATGTGCCCGCAACCAATGTACATGCCCTTGACCGGAATCGAACCTACTAACCGTTTTTAAAGAGTCAGATAGCTTTCTTTGTGCATCTCTAAATGGATCAGATGGAAAAGGCTGGCTGAAGAGAGTATTATGGCATTCTCTTTGTGTGCACTTTTTAATAAAAGTGTACGTCTGCTCGTAAACTTTTCCCCCTTTAAAAAGCAGGTGTTTTCCTTTGTAGGGTGGGTGCTGGGCAGGTACAGGAACGAGGCATTTATTTTATACCTTAGGAACTAGACCTAGTCAATGTGGTCACCCTACCACTTTTGCTGTCCTCTTTTTATGCTTTTTTGTGTTTTTAAAACAAGTGTCATTTGTTTTAGTGACATATATTTCGTTGAAGAAAGCCTTTTAAAAAATGGTATAAAATAGGTAGTAGAGATCAAGTGAAATTTTTAACCGAATTAAAGGTACCTCAAGTGAGGCGAGTCAGAGGCACAACCTCACGCCCAACCAGACGGGAAAACCCGCCGGGTCAGCGCCCACCCCGCCCCGCCCCCTCCCCCACCCCGCCCCGCCCCAGCCCCGCCCTCCCCGTCCTCCCCGCCCTCCCCGCCGGGTCAGCGCCCACCCCAGCCCCGCCCCCTCCCCCACCCCACCCCACCCCAGCCCCGCCCTCCCCGTCCTCCCCGCCCTCCCCGCCGGGTCAGCGCCCACCCCGCCCCGCCCTCTCCCCCACCCCACCCCACCCCCGCCCTCCCCGCCGGTCCGCGCTCTCCCCGCCCGCCCCGCCCGCTCACCGCAGAACCGCCCAATCAGGTCCACAAGTCCCACTAGGCATCGCGAGAACGACGTACACTGGGAACGCGAGACTTGAACGCACGTCACTTCCGGCCGCCAGGAACCGTCCCTCCGGAAGTGCTTCTTTTTAAAATTGCGTTAGCTCGCTGTCTTTAAGCCGGAAATAGGAACCAGTAACACACAGCTCAGAAAGGGGGAAGGCTAGGACGTCCGAGCTGCGGGTCCCCGGAGCCCGAACGGGGGCCGGAAGTGGCGCCTCTGCGGGCTCCCTGCGCACTCAGTGCGTGGCGCGCCGCTCTCCTGCCTCTGGCTTTCTCCTTCATGGCTCCTGCCATGGTTCCGTCGTGCAAACAAAACCGGCACGCTTCCCTTTGGGGCTCGTCGCATCCGAGCTTCCGGAGAGCGAAGCCCAAGTTCCACAAACAGCCTGCAACCCCTCGCCCTGAGCTCGCACGTGCAGC